CACAAACTAGCCCAGGACACCCTAGTGACAATCCACCAGATGTCCTGCCACGATGGCCCACCCTAGAGCCAATGCTGCAGAAGCTGTGCCTGTAAGAAGGTAGGCTTTTCTGCTGACAAACTCACAGAAATGAAATCCATTCAAAAGTATCTCTTACAAGGGTGAAAACATTTTATCAAATTTCATGTTTACTGATATCATTACTTCAATGATTCTCAAAAAAGCTCATTATCTGCTCACTAAAATTAAGAGCCTAAAAATATATATTAAATATGTATTTTATAAAACAACACTCATCAAAAGCATTTTGAAGAATTAACAGAAAACTGTCCTTTAAAATGATTTATATAGGGGGCTGGAGATTTAGCTCAGGGGTTCCACTGCCTGCCTTGCAAGTGCAAGGTCCTGAGTTCGATCCCCAGTAAAAAAAAAAAAAAAAAAGATTTATGTATATTGTTACCATCCAGCAAATTTTAAAAATAATCAGTAACTTATATTAAACTCATGAATAAAAAAATATGTATAAGATCTATTGTTTCTCATTGGTTTTAGATACCTCTTGCACCTGGTTATACAGGTGGCACATTTTCCTTTTTTCTGCTTAGTAAAAACATTTTATATAGCAATAGCATCATAAATAATATTTAGTATATTTTACCCAATATGGTTTGGCCACAGAAAAATAATGTTTGTAACACATGCAGATATTTTTAGAAGCTACAATTTAGTGTGGATGGTTAATCAATTTCTGTAGTAATTCATTTAAACAGGGTCTTTCAGAATATGCTGTTGGACTGACCTGGTAAGAATTTACTAAGGATTAATCTGACTGAATTTATGATATATAAATGAAAATTTCTCAAGCTATAAGTTTTACCTCCTTTTGCTATTTTAACCTCAAGTAAATGGTTAGAAACATAATGTTTGCCAATATGCTGTTATCATTAATATGATTTTTTCTGTCCTACTGATGATTCTGAATTCTATTTGTAGTTCTAATTTTTTTTTTTTTTTTTTGGTATTAGGGATCGAACTCAGGACCTTGAGTTTGCGAGGCAGGTGCAGTGCCACTGAGCCAAATCCCCTGCCCTGTATTTCTAATCTTGTATAAGGAAATCATTTCTGAGGCTGACGATATTTTCTGGTCACTCAAAACTAAAGAATTTAAGACAAAGTAGTGGTACTTTCCTTCACATACACTAAATAACTGGCCTTAGAGTTGAAGATAACAATACTGTAGAATGTGAATACAGGGGAAAGTGTTTCCGTCTGACTGCAACATGAAAATGGAGCAAAAATCATAAAGGTGTTTGACCTCTAAACCATGACCTCACTTTCAACAAAAACCTGAGTAAACGAGAAGCTGAATGCAAAAGGATACTCCAGTCAACAGCATTCTGTAATATAACAAATCGTGGGAAACTAAACAGCAGACAGAAGGGGAAGGGGTGGGTAATGCAGCAACAACATGTGAAATAAAACTTAAGATACATCTTTAAATTTAAAATGACTAGCAACATGGAAGAATTTATGACATAATAGTGATTAATAGCTTTTGCACAATAATGATAACGATGTGAAATACCCATTCATGTATGCAAGGACCAAACAGTCATACAAAGATGAAAATAGTTATTGTCAATATTTATTAATTTTAATCTTATTGATATGTCACCTTTGAAATTTAAGTACAATAGGAGTTATTAACCATACCATTACTTCTCCACATACTACTCAGCAGCGCTCCTAAAGCCATTTGGCACACTAAAAAAGATCTTTGTGGGTTTTACTCGAGTAAATAATCACCACTTTGGAAAGTCACAGAATAACTTAAGGTACCTTCCAAGGGGTCTAGAACAATAGGAAATGAGTTATGAAAAATAGATATATCCAGCAGAGTGATCGGCGTACATGCATTTAGGCTGCTATCACGCTGTTCCAACTTACGACCACCCATTTCCTCAGACATTCTTAGAGCATTGAACATGGGCCGGAAATGATTACATAACAGCTTCTCATCCCAATCAGTAGGCTGATTATATGAATCAGGTAAGAAAAGTACTAGAGATCGAAAGGCAGAGGTTTCCAAAATGGAATTAAGGTAAAATCGAACTGAATCAAGGAGGAAGTAAAATCAAAATAAGTAACAAAATCAAATCAAAACAAAACAAAAACCTGTGGCAAAGGTAGCAAACTCAAAGGCTACAGCAGAGGCCAGAAGGTAACAGGCACACGTACAGGAGGCCAGGCGTAAGCAATGGAGCAATGGCACCAAGGCAGAGCACAAGCTCACCCCGCCTACTTAGCAGCCGCTACAGTTTGATAAAGTGCTGACAGCCCAATTATGGAACCTGGGCTGCCAAACACCCAGGGTCTTTCAACAGAGGCCAGAAATACACACATTCAACTGAAGTCCCTGTCTTTGTAACTGCTGACTACTTGACTTAGTTTCATTTCTTACTCCCTGTAACTTTCGAATACTAGTTGTCCTTGGCCTCGTGTTGTGGACTTCTGGTTTTTGCAACCTCTAACCTATTCTTAATGCGCTTAGGGATTTTGCAAAAGAAGGATCTTTATTTAGTAGAAGCCGTATTTTTTTATTTGTCATCGATTAAGGTCTCTTTGTAGGAAACGTTAAAAAGAAAGAAAATGCAAAACAGTGACGCTAAAGGAAACTGCGAACAGGGCGATAACGTAAATCAATGAGGGTTTGCAAATTGTAAGAACCTCTATATTTAGATCTAAATGTTCCTGAGGGGCAGAGCCTTCGAGGAGTTCACTTTTATTTTGTGTAGAATGACCAAGGAAACATTCTGAGTCACTACAAAAGGAAATTAGCCCAAAAGGCTTATTGTAAATATGGTTCTCTTTGCAAAATTACATGAAAAATGGCAAGAGGGAAACAAAATCTGACCACACTGGAATCACCATGAGCTACCAAATTGCAAATAGGATCTGGGTGTGTGTCCTGCACTGCACCTGTTGCTAACTTCCTTATCCATTCCTTTCTGTTGGTGTTTTCCCTCCCTTGGCTGCTGGATGGAAGCCGTGGAGGAAGGCTGGCTGGCTGCAGACAAGGAGGAAAAGGGAAGCTATGCACAGAGGGGTTTTCACTTGAATAGTCGGAACAGACTCTGCAGATGGTGGTCTGACTGGCCAGAAGGAAGGGGAGAGTCCTCTACCTCTGCAACTAGTCATTTGCGTCACATGCACCCAAGGAAAAAGTGTTTACCTGGTGGAGCCACGGTTAACCTTTTTTCCTTGCTGAGCCGGTGCCCCTGGATGAGTTCCCTCATGGAAGGGGGGCCCTTCAGAAGAAATGACTCTGTGGAGGTGGGGTCGGGGGGAACGCTTAATAAACTCTGTAGGTAGGAGGCCCCTGAAGTCCTGGGACGGCTCTGATCACAAAGGGAAGGTGAGAATTGTCTTGCAGAAGATCCAAGAAAAATACATATAGGAAACAAAAAAGTTTTACTTTAATTACCTTTCAATGCCTCACCAGTGACAACAATATTTATATTGGCATTTGATTTTTTAAAATATATAAATTAAGATTCTTGCTATTTTTTTTTTTTTTTTAAGTTTCCACATCAGGATACAAGCCTACTTGGAAACTGTTTTGAGTACTGGAAAAGAGATTTATCATAGTTAGTTTGAAGCACAGATAGAAGCTCTATGTATTATTTGATTCATAAATAAAGACTCCTCCAATAAAATTTTACCACAGTAATGTAAAACACAAGATAAGAAACTTAACAACAGCCAGGATTCAGGAAAAATGTCACAAAAAACAAGCCATTAAAAACCTTATAAATGGTTTTTCTGGAGAAATATTCACATGCCAAATTAAAAAGCATGAAAATTTGCTTTTAAGAAAAGGACTCTATGTTTTCCATTCCATTTTACCTAAATACAGACATGCCCTGGCCATCACTCACCAGTTTTGGGCATACAGGCAGAAGTTCCCCAAGAGAACATATTCATATCCTTGTCTCCATTAAGGAGAAGCTGCTAAGTAGCACCATTTTCCAGAGGTACAATGACTTTTAAAGTTATAGCTCATGTAGAACACAGCTTTGTTCTCTCTCTCTCTTTTTATTTTGCTACTGGGGATTGGACTCAGGACTTTGCGGTTGCCAGGCAAGTGTGGCACCATTGAGCTACATCCCCGGCCCTATAGCTTCATTCTTCTTCTTCTTCTTCTTCTTCTTCTTCTTCTTCTTTTTTTTTTTTTTT